ATCATTTCTGTATGTACATTGTTGACCCAGTGGATTTTGTCATATTTCCAAAAGATAAATCAAAAACCAAACCACATGATTGTTTTTGTTGTGACAAAGATTCATGTGTTTCAATGATTCCATCATAGAAAATTCAGAGTTACAGGAGTCACTGAAAACTTAAGCCTGAAATTATATATGGTCTTTACAAGTGGATGTAAACTTTTGTTCACGACTGTATAGTTGTAGTTGCCATTCAGGAAGCAGTAGAGTAATGTGTAAATGTATGTGCTGCTCAAAGACAAACTCTTATGACCCACTGGATCCTAATCCTCACAAATCCATGGTAGATTTTCACTACAACGCGCATCATTCCATTTCTCATGTTCCTTAATGATCTCCACACAATCCTCATCTCCATGATTATTTGGCTCCCCACTTCGCCAGAACGCAGTACGTACCCCAGATCCATCCACCCAGAGCCACGTGCCCTCCTGCTTCATGTCAGACAAACCGATCCAGGTTCTGTCGTGAATTCTGGCCACAAATGCCAGCTCTTCTTTAGTAGTGGGCATCACCAGGTCAACTCCTCTCTGCAGACAATCTCTTCTGCTGTCCTCCCAGTTCTTATTCTGTCCTTTTTCTGAGATGTAGTAGCACTTGTTGTTGAACATAATCCATCCTTGGAGGCAGACTTTACCTGGAGACAAAACAAAGCATTGGAGCTGTTATGAACCTGAAACTTTCAGCTTGTTGAAGTTTAAATGATCTGAGAGGAAGCTAGATTTTTTTTTGTCTCTTCCTGGTTCCAATTTTCTTTTCTTTTTTTTAGAAAGTTCAGCCTATGGTGAGAGATTTCAGCCAGTGACAGTGTATTTAACAGATCATATGACATTGTATATACATCAACAAAGCTGGTCAACAAGAACTCTGTGTTTGAAATTTGCACAAGCTTTCGCCTCAGGCTGCTCTGAAACTCTAAAAATGAAAGCCTTTGACAGTTTTAAACTGTAATTTTGGAACAATTTACAGTTGTTTTACAGATTTTCCATGTTTTGTTAAATTTCAGACTAATAATAACTAGTGATATTAAAGAACAAAAACATGAATTTACATGTTATCTGTGAGAAAAACAGCAGATAGTGTCCATATAAAAAAACATAGTTTTACAATTTTTTAATAACGTTTTTATATAATTTGTTCTTTTACAGTGTTTTATTGGATTTGAATCAACAAAAAATATCATTATTTAGTGATATTTGCTATTATTTTAAAGAAAAAATATTCATATGAAGGACTGAAAAATGCAAAATAATTTTTTAACTTATTTTTTGCAGAAACTTGTTAAATTACAGAAAATAACTCGCAAAATCAGTGACTTATCAAAACGGTCCATAATGTCCACACAAAAGTGTAGCTTGTTCTTTTGCAAAATGTGACTGTAAATTTATGCAGTTTTATTCTTTTAAAATCTGCTAAAAATAGAATTATTTTACAGATATTCGCCTCCACTTGGAGCACTTGCTGCAGTGTTTGAGGTCAAACTGCTAATTTAGTACACACTTGTCATAATAATACACCTACATTGTGACTCGTTCAAATTTGATTTAAGATCCAAAAAAGGGCAATGTATGTAAAACACATGATTTCTTTGTCTTCTGTGTGTCAGCTGAGATTTTGTTGAAGTTTCAATGTCTGGTGAAAGCTGTATTTCTTACATGTTGTCGCATTTAACCTGTTGACCTCCTGTT